GGGCTGGTGCTTGGCTCTGCTTAAATTTAGTGCCAAATGCACGCTCCACCAAGATTGGCTCCCTGACCACTGGACCTGCTAGCTAGGGATCATGGGAGTTGTAGGCCAAAAACATCTGGAGGGCTGAGTTTGAGGAAGCCTGCACTAAGGTGACAGGAGGATGTGGTTTTCAGTGGTAACCGTTGTTTGCTAAGGGGCGGAGAAGGTAAAATACTTCTTCCCCTCTCACTGAACTCCCTACCATGAATACCTTGGCAGCATTTGGGGGAAGAGAGAAAGGAAAATGCCCACCACTGACATTGGTCCCTGGAAGGCTGCACAGAACAGGATGTTGCCTTCGAGCCAAAGGTTTCTTCCTCTTTTATAGGGCTCGTCCCAAAGTTGTGTGACTTTACCATATCCATCATCCTGTGAGAAGATCATTTGGATAATATTTCCCTTATTACGACATCCCTTATTACGGCCGAGGGAGCCGGGGTACAGCTGGTCATGTGGCCAGCATGATTAAGCCGCTTCTGGCGAACCAGAGTAGCGCAGAGAAGCACTGTTTGCCTTCCCGCCAGAGCAGTACCTATTTATCTACTTGCACTTTGACTTGCTTTCGAACTGCTAGGTTGGCAGGAGCAGGGACGGAGCAACAGGAGCTCACCCTGTCGCGGGGATTCGAACCGCCAACCTTCTGATCGGCAAGCCCAAGAGTGGTTTACACCACAGCGCTACCCGCGTCCACTAACCACCGTTGTTTTCCACGGGCCTGTACTACTTCATTTGTACAGAAGGAGGTGCTGGGATTTGCCCTGATGGCTGCTGCAGGCAGCTCAGCAGTCCAGGGTTTTGCAATGGGTTTTGACTCCTCCTGGGAATGCTTTCGGTGCATGTTCTCAAAGCACCTCATCCTATTTAAACCTCACAAAAGACTCCAAAAGTTGTGGTAATTTACATCTGAGTTCAGCACTGAAATGGCCTCGTCCCAAAGCTGTGTGACTTTACCTTATCCATCATCCTGTGAGAAGATCATTTGGATAATATTTCCCTTATTACGACATCTGAATCCCATTAAGATAAGAGCAGACTGGAGCAAATGGTCAACTCTTGTCTTCAAGAAAACCAACTGCATGACATAGTGCATCACCATGACAATAGAAAAAGTATAATGAGAACGATTGGAAGGTTTTTTTTACAGAAAACTTTATCGGATAAGACATGATGTTGTATAAATATCTGGTTCTTTCTTTATTATTATTTTTCCTTTGTTTCGATATCTTTAAACCCTTTTTTGCCCTTTTTGATGTGATGACTTCTTTTTTCTTTTTCTTTATCTCTTTTTCTTTCTTTGTACCCCATATTGTTATAATTACCTTTGTTGTATGACTGTATTTTAAAACAATAAAGACTTGTTTTAAAAAAAAGGGCATTAGGGGAATTTCTCTCCGCCCCATGGAAGTTACGCCTTGGTTCCACCTTGTCCATCATTCTCTTTAACATCCCTGTGAAGCTACAGAGAGATGTCATCTGGGGATCTGGAGCACAGGGTCACCAATATGCAAATGTTATGCAGCTCTACCATACGAATCAGGCAAGGCTGTGTGGGCACTGGGCCAGTGACTAGAGGCAGTAACAGGTTGGGTGAGGGCCAATAAACCAAGTCTGCATCCCAACAAGGTGCTATTGTTAGTGGATGCTTGTCCTGTTTGGAGAGAAGCACAGAGAACCAAAGAGATCAACTGATCCATGAGCTGTTTGCCCCAGGATCCTCTGCAACATTGCAAGGGATCATGAGGTTCAGCCACTTTGCTAAGATTTGCTGGCTCTCCAGAGCCTCTCAGAGAGGAGGCTGAAAGATAGATAGGGAGTCCTACTGGGTTTGTGGAAGCTGAATGGTGCAGGAGAAAGCTCAGGAATGGACTCTGAAACCCATAGACCCTGAAAGAATCATTATGGCAGTCCTGCACTGTAGCTCAGTTAGACAGAGATGCAGGGGCAATTTTTGCTTCCAATTTGCTCCCCTTTTGGCCTCCTGGAGGAGAAAGTGAGAGCTGCCTATGGAGTTAATGGGAAAATCCATGATTTAGCACAGCTTTAGGTGGAGGACAACAGCCTGATTCTCTTTCCACCCCACCCCACGATATCCCATTCCCTGCCCTCAAGTCTTGGGGCACAAGAGATTCTTTTAAACATCAAGCACAGAATTCACATGGACCTTGTAGATGGGGAGCAACCCAACATAGGGTGCACCAAGACCTCCCTACTGGGTGAATTCAAAGCATAGCTGTCAAGTGTCCCTTATTTGAAGGGACAGTCCCTTATTCCAGCGCCATGTTCCGCTGCTGTCCCTTATTGATGGATGTCCCTTAGATGTCCCTTAAATGATGTCCCTTAAATTTCAAAGGAAGCAGCTCCTCTCCCTCCCTCTCTGCTGGCCAGGGAGGAGGGAGGCTCCAACTGTGTTGCTTGGCTGTGTTGCTCACCCAATAAGAAGTCTAAGAACGACTGGGGGGTGGAGCTTGCATGCCTTGTGTGTGGCTAGTTAATGCAAGCTGAGGGGTTTTTTGAATGCTGGACGCCATTTTGTTGCACGTGCTGCTGCAAACTTTGCAGTGCAAAGCCAGGCCGGGGAGCCATCTTAAGTTGAGGCTGCATAGGCCTTGTGGTGCATGTGATTCAGATTCTGTTCAGTTGAACCTCTGGTTACAAAGTTGGTTGGACAGTGTTCTCGAAGCTACCCAGCATGAGTTTGACCAGACTGCAGGAGGACAGGAAGACTGGAGTGCCTGGAACAGGTGAGGCTGCAGGTCCCTTATTTTGGCTGCTGGTCCCTTATTTTCAAATCTGTAAGCTGACAGCTATGATTCAAAGACCAAACATTTTGCAAGACCATCACCCTTCAGGAACTGATGGCAAGAAGCCCCTCAGGCCTTGAGATTCCAGAGAGAAAGGGAGAGGAATGTAGGACGCTGCCTTCCATCTTGGTAGCTCTCCAGGGTTTCAGGCAGAGGACATCCCCACCCTTACCCAGAGTTGTCAAGGATTGAACCCGGGACGGTAACAGAGATGAGGGGCCACTGAACTGCTATTCTCCTTCTCCGTAAGAGAGAGAAGCAAGCTCCCCCCTGCCCACTTGTGGCCAGGCTGCAGGACTTGAAAATTTGCTGCAGGAATGACAAGAGGATAAGAACCCAGGGAGGTTGCTAGGATAAAAGGTGAGGGCATCAGACAAACTGCATTGCAGTGAGACACAGTGGATTAAAGGCACAACCTCCAGACTTCCCTCCCTCTCTTCCTTTAGACTGGGGCAGTGATGGGGAATCTGTGACCATCTGGACGTTGATGGACCACAGCTCCCATCATCCTTGACTGCTGACCATGCTTGCTAGAGCTGATGGGCGCTGCAGTCCAACAGCATCAGGAAGGCACAGGTTCCGCATCCCCGAAGTAAGAAACCCTGCTGCAGGCCTGCTTTGCCAAAGACCAGCTCTGTGTTTGTTACATCTGTAACCCTCCTTTTGCCCAGAGAGCTCAAGATGATGTACATAAGTTCTCCTCCCCATTAGGGCTGGGCGATATCAGCTTTTCAACATTGTAGTGCATCACCAGCTGAACATCGCGGTTTGGCGATACAGTGGTACCTCGGGTTACATACGCTTCAGGTTACAGACTCCACTAACCCAGAAATATTACCTCAGGTTAAAAACTTTGCTTCAGGATGAGAACAGAAATCGCGCAGCAGTGGCACGGCTGCAGCGGGAGGCCCCGTTAGCTAAAGTGGTGCTTCAGGTTAAGAACAGTTTCAAGTTAAGAACAGGATGAATTAAGTTCTTAACCCGAGGTACCACTGTATATCGCAATGTTGAGAAAATGAGTTGCGTTGGCATCAGCCTGCGACACGCTGGATGAAATTGCTGCAGCTCTCACTAAGGGAATGGAGGCGGTTTCACCCCAGCACCTAGTGGAGCTGGGACAAAGCAACTTATTTGTATGTCTCAGCTGGGGCACGGGAGGGCTCCCCATCCCCAGCAGAGCCATCCCCCACTCATAGTTGAATGGCAGGACAAGGGGAGCATCAGGGCTCCTTTGCCAGGCAGAGGGCCTTCTCGGTAGTGGCGCCCACCCTGTGGAACGCCCTCCCATCAGATGTCAAGGGAAAAAACAACTATCTGACTTTTAGGAGACATCTGAAGGCAGCCCTGTATCAGGAAGTTTTCAATGTTTGATTTTTTTTATTGTGTTTTTAATATTCTGTTGGGAGCCGCCCAGTGTGGCTGGGAAAACATAGCCAGATGGGCAGGGTATGTATGTATCGTTGTTGTTTAGTTGTGTCCGACTCTTCATGACCCCATGGATCAGAGAACGCCAAGCACTCCTGTCTTCCACGGCCTCCCGCAGCTTGGTCAAGCTCATGCTGGTAGCTCGAGAACACTGTCCAACCATCTCGTCCTCTGTCGCCCCCTTCTCCTTGTGCCCTCCATCTTTCCCAACATCAGGGTTTTTTCCAAGGAGTCTTCTCATGAGGTGGCCAAAGTCTTGGAGCCTCAGCTTCAGGATCTGTCCTTCCAGTGAGCACTCAGGGCTGATTTCCTTCAGAATGGATAAATAAATATCCAAATAATAATAAATAAATATTATTATTATTGCTCTGCTGGGGATCAGGGGCCCTCCCCATCCCCAGGAGAGTCATCCCTGGTGCCAGCGGCCATCAACAGCTCTCTCCTTCATGATCCCCTTTCAAAGCCATCCAAGTCGGTGGCCACCACTGCCTGCTGTGGCAGGGAGTTCCACAGATTAACCATATCCCGCATGAAGAAGCGCTTTCCCTGTTATGCGTCCCGCCCTAGCGAACTACACTTCCCATCATCCCCGGCGCAGCTGCCCTTATTCCCAGAACCCCTTGCCCGAAGCGAGGTTCATGAAGCCACGCCTCTTTATGCTTCCCGGCATGCTCCTCGAAGGGGCGCGGCCTACTGACGTGGCTGCCAAGGTTTTTTTTCCCCCCTCAGCAGGCAATGGCCGCGCCAGCCGCTGATTCCTCCTCGGGAGGGCCCGTCGCTCTCCAGCCGGCGGGAGATGCCGGCCGGCCGCCGCTGCATATGGCGGCGCTGGTGTTGGCTCGCGGCGGCAGCAAAGGAATCCCGCTGAAGAACATTAAGCTCCTGGCCGGGGTCCCGCTGATTGGTTGGGTGCTGAGGGCAGCCCTCGACTCCGGCGTCTTTCAGAGGTGTGCGCATGCGCGGTTACCATTTCCTCCCCCCCCCTTTCTTTCAAATTTCAAAGCTTTTAAGCTGAATTTATATAAATTAAATTGCTGTGGGTTTTTTGTGGATTTTTCATTTTTTTTAAAAAAAAATGGCTCTTGTGTGTGTTTATTTATTTCAGAAAATTTATATACCGCTTGATTGTAAAGTGGAGGGCTTAAGAGCAGCCGTATTCAGACACTTAAATCCCCCACTTGGGAGATCGATTAGGTCTTTGGTTAACTTTTTATTAAGGGACAGTTCCTCCTACACCTCTGGAAAAGTGGCCTGTTCTGTGGCAGTTTGAAGGAGAAAGGTTTTGTGGCGACGACCTGATTGCTCAGGGGAGCAGAATGTGCCAGATTGTCTGCTTCAAATAATTATTTTAACTGTGCAATGTGTTTTAATCTGTTTTGTGTACTTTATCTTTTGCAATGGCTTCAGACACACAAATAATATTTATTTTAAAATAAAATAAAATTCCAGCAATTTGATAGATAGATCTAAAACAACACAAAAATTTCAGAACAGTACCCCATACATATAAAAACAGTCAAAAGGCACACCTTTGGGTGGATGCCCAAATGACTATATGCAGTGGTTGGGGTGGAAATCCTCTCCAGAACTGGTATAACTGCACCTGGAGCTTAGTGGTGTGTAAAAAGTTGACAGGGAGTGACAAGGACTTCATTGAGTCAGCTGTGCTTGAATGGACCTGGTTGCCTTTTGTTTCCTTTATCCATGTTGCAGTTGAAGCACTGTGATTGTCAAGTTCCCAGGGCTCTTTGGAGGGGGTTGGGCTAGATGACCCTCAGGGTCCCTTCCAACTCAACAATTCTATGATTTTATTCTGGCGATAGACTCTTGGACATGAATGTTGCCTTCGCTTTTATGCGGTGTTGCCCGCTGCACCTTCCTCTCTCTTCCTTTCCAGCTGAAAACAATAAACAAATATTTTTTTAAAAAATGCATAGGATGAGTCTGTCTTATCTGTTGCATTTAACAACTCATTTTTTTTATACTGTAGTCGGCGTCCCATGAGTCTTCCATTCTGCCCTCTTGGATATTATTCCCACTCATGAGATACCAAATTACTTGGCTATTTACAGGCCTGCCACTAAGGCTGAGAAATGGAGAACCTGTGGTCCTCCAGATGTTGTTGGGCTCCAACTCCCGTCAGCCCGGCCAGGGGTCACAGATTGATGGGGGCATGGTCCCGACGACATTCAGAAGGCTGTAGATTCCTCATCCCTGTCCTAGGTAAACAGCCTCGGTCCAGTATACCTGAAGGAGCGTCTTCACCCCCATTGTTCTGCCCGGACACTGAGGCATAGCTGTCAACTTACAGATTTGAAAATAAGGGACCAGCAGCCTCGAAAATAAGGGATCAGCAGCCAAAATAAGGGATTTTCCAAGCAGAGGTATGGCCCCTCCGAGCCAAAGGCAGAAAGCCCAGCCAGCAGCCAAACGAAGCCTCAAGCGGTGGTTCCCACAGCACAACAGCCCAGCAAAGGGGATGCAGCAAGGAAAACCACCGTCACCTCTCCGCTGGAAAGCGCTGAGCAAAGGCGAGTCCCCAGGCAACGCAGCCGATTTGATCGGCACAAGGCGTGCAAGCTCCATCCCCCAGTCATTCTTAGACTCCTTATTGGGTGAGCAATGCAGCCAAGCAACACAGTTGGAGCCTCCCTCCTCCCTGGCCGGCAGGGAGGGAGGGAGAGGAGCTGCTTCCTTTGAAACCCGGGAAATTTAAGGGACATCATCAATAAGGGACAGCAGCGGGACATGGCGCGGGGATAAGGGAGTTTCCTGCCAAATAAGGGACGGTTGACAGCTATGCAATGAGGTCCAGCGCTGAGGGTCTTCTCGGTAGTGGCACCCGCCCTGTGGAACACCCTCCCGTCAGATGTCAAAGAGAAAAACAACTACCAGACTTTTAGAAGACATTTGAAGGCAGCCCTGTTTAGGGAAGCTTTTAATGTTTAATAGACTATTGTGTTTTACTACTTTGCTGGGGAGACCCAGCCAGATGGGAGGGGTATAAATAATAAATTATTAATATAATTTATTAATTATATATAATTATTATTATAGGTACAAAGGAAGATGTGAACATCATGCAGCTGCATTACATGTCCTATGTTTGCAAGGTTTTCTTTTCCTTTCTTGTGACTGCCGTTCTCGGTGGCTTGTAGGGAAATAGCTTTGATCCTTCTTGTCTGTCTGGGCAATAACTTGTTGCTGCCGCTTTCTGCCTGCCGACAGCGTGTGGGTTTCCACAGACCACGACGAAATCGAGAAAGTGGCCAAGCAGTTTGGGGCAAAAGTCCACCGGAGAAGCTCTGAAGTGTCAAAAGACTCCTCTACCTCCCTAGATGCCATCGTGGAGTTCCTCCAGTATCACGATGGTATGGCGTCCACCTTTGTTTTAAAAAGTATCTATATTTTTAAATCCCCCCCCCCCGCCTTTCTCAAGGCATCTTAAACGTTGAAAACAAATAATAAATCAAATCACCATCTTTAAAATTTAGGCAAGAGGCAAAATAAGGCAATTCACATTGCAGTGACGTGCACCAGGAAAAAAATTGAGTTTGCATTGGAAATTGTTCTGATTCAGCATGTTTATTTTACCTGCATTTAGTAAACAAAGCTAAACACTTTGAAACTGTGAAGGATGCCTAATAATTGCATTTGCAACTAGCGTGCAGTCATTGTTTCTAAATAATTTTATGAAATGGGGGGGGGAGGAATTGACACACACACACACACATACCCCATCAGCTTGCTATTTCATGACTTTCAGTTCAGCCTTGTAAACAAGTCTGCAAAAGTTACTAGCTTGTTTTTGGTTTGTTTGCTTTTAATAAAGTAGCCTGCTGGGGACCAGCAAAGAATGGAGCCCTGCCCCTCTGGCTCACCTGCGTGGAATTTCATGTTGCCAGTGGTTACCAGGCTACTGGCTAAATTCAGATTTGGTCGTGCTAAAGATAATAGCCTGCTCATGTCCTCTTATGTCTCCGCCTGAACTTTTTTTTATGTGGTGCTGGAAATGCTATTGATGCATTGTGAGTAATATTGCACATTGTTACCTAAACACTGTGATATTCATCTCCTCTGTGTCATTCTCTTCTCCTTTCCCCTCCCCACTTCAGAGGTTGATGTCATAGGAAATATCCAAGCAACTTCCCCTTGTTTACATCCCACTGATCTTACCAGGGTTGCCAAAATGATCCGCGAGGATGGCTTTGATTCCGTGTTCTCTGTCGTCAGGCGGCATCAGTTTCGGTGGAGCGAAATAAAAAAAGGAGGTGAGCGGTATTGCTTCTCATAAAAGCATTCAAGCAAAATTAATTTATGTTGTTTTCATTATGATTACAAGGGAAGTAATAAGTGCCACTGTATTCTGCTCTGGTCAGACCTCACCTGGAGTACTGTGTCCAGTTCTGGGCACCACAGTTCAAGAAGGACACTGACAAACTGGAATGTGTCCAGAGGAGGGCAACTAAAATGGTCAAAGGCCTGGAAACGATGCCTTATGAGGAACGGCTAAGGGAGCTGGGCATGTTTAGCCTGGAGAAGAGGAGGTTAAGGGGTGATATGATAGCCATGTTCAAATATATAAAAGGATGTCATATAGAGGAGGGAGAAAGGTTGTTTTCTGTTGCTCCAGAGAAGCGGACACGGAGCAGTGGATCCAAACTACAGTGGTACCCCGCAAGACGAACGCCTCGCAAGACGGAAAACCCGCTAGACGAAAGGGTTTTCCGTTTTGGAGGCGCTTCGCAAAACGAATTTCCCTATGGGCTTGCTTTGCAAGACGAAAGCCCATAGGGAAATCTCCGGGACAGCGGGTAAGCGCAGCGCGTCTTCCCCACTGTCCTCGGACCTCCTCCCGCCGCCCGGCATCGGAACCAAGCTCCGATGCTGGCTGCGGGGCGGGAACGCCTCCTCCCGCCGCCCGGCATCGGATCTCAGCGCGCGCAGGCTTCGGCATGCTGGCAACTCTCCGCAAGCAGCGGGAGCGCTCCCGCTGCTTGCGGAGAGGTCTGCGAAGCCTGTCCAGGACAGCTTTTGAAGGGGGGGGAAGCAAGGACTTTCGCCCCCCGCCCGCCTTCAGAAGAGGTCCTTGACCTCTTCTGAAGGCGGGCGGGGGGCGAAAGTCTTTGCTCCCCCCTGCCTGCCTTCAAAAGCCATCCAGGACAGCGGAGAAACGCGCTGCCTTTCTCCGCTCTCCCGGGAAGGCAGGCAGGGGGGAGCAAAGACTTTCGCCCCCCGCCCGCCTTCAGAAGAGGTCCAGGACCTCTTCTGAAGGCGGGCGGGGGGCGAAAATCTTTGTCCCCCCTGCCTGCCTTCCCAGGGGCTTTTAAATCGCCCCGGACAGCGGAGAAGTCCTCCGCTGTCCCGGGCGATTTTAAAATGCCGCCCGCCAGCATTTTAAGATTGCCCCGGACAGCGGAGAAGTCCTCCACTGTCCCGGGGTTTTTTAAAATGCTGGGGGTGGGAAGAAAAGCCCTTGTCCCCCCCCCAGCCTTCAGAAGAGGTCGGAGGACAGACTGTCCCCGGACCTGGTCTGAAGGCGGTTTCCCTAGGAACGCATTAATTGATTTTCAATGCATTCCTATGGGAAACCGTGCATCGCAAGACGAAAAACTCGCAAGACGAAGAGACTTGCGGAACGAATTAATTTCGTCTTGCGAGGCACCACTGTACAAGAAAGAGGATTCCACCTAAACATTAGGAAGAACTTCCTGACAGTAAGAGCTGCTCGACAGTGGAATTTGCTGCCAAGGAGTGTGGTGGAGTCTCCTTCTTTGGAGGTCTTTAAGCAGAGGCTTGACAACCATATGTCAGGAGTGCTCTGATGGTGTTTCCTGCTTGGCAGGGGGTTGGACTCGATGGCCCTTGTGGTCTCTTCCAACTCTATGATTCTATGTGCATAAGTGCCATACATAGCACAATGCAGTCCTCATGTCACACACCCAAACCTCCTACCTTCCATTCCAGAATCCTGCATAGACATCCCGCCCCCCGTCTATCCCTATTAGACTGATACTTGATCTTTAATTCTAGGTGTTCATTGGTCATTTTGAGTGGTTGCAGTTCAGATTGTGTGGTTAGGCTCGCGTTAAGCGCTTCATTTGCCATTTGCATTATATCGGCTCTGCGATCAGATACTATCTCAACTTTAGCTTCAAGTGGCTGCAGAGCAGCAGTCCAGCCATTTGCTAGAACCTGTCTTATTTTGGCAGTGAGTTGCTTTGAATCCCTCTCCTCCTTTGGGGCCATTGGAGGTTTTTACGCCCTTTTGCCTGGAAACGCCAAACGTCATGTCTTCCACACCAGCTTTGTCCGACAGCTCTGAGTAATCAACCTTTAGAGCATCCTAGAGATCCTAGGATCATAGAATTGTAGAGTCGAAAGGAACACCAAGCTCCATCTAGTCCAGCCCCCCTCAAGCCTCGTTAATTTGCTTTTGGGACTGCCAGGTTAGATTTGATTTAAGTCAAATCGATTTCAATCACGATTTCAATCACTAGTCAGTAAGACTTGATTTCAATCACTAGTCAGTAAGACTTGATTTCAATCACTAGTCAGTAAGACTTGATTTCAATCACTAGTCAGTAAGACTTGATTTCAATCATTTTTTTACAGAAAGACTCATTCTTGCTGGTATAATCTTAATATTTACAACCAGATGAAGGTTTCATTTTTGGAAGAATAAATTTTCAGAGTAGTTTTTGCAGTTATATAAAAAATTACTGATTTTGGTTATACTATTAGAAATACATTGTCAGATAATTATGAGGTTATTGTGAGGTTTAATAAGTTAACTGTTTATATTTGGACAACTTTCCTGCTGTGCTTTATTGGAAAGAGACAATTTATTTAAATAAAACAATAACATTATAGCATATGTATCCATGTTTGTTAACTGATGTGGTTAAATGGTTTTAAAAAAACAAAAACCTTAGACTGAGTTTTAGCACACATGAAAAACTTAAAACAAATCCTTATTTCCTGATGAATAGTCTTTGGACTATAATGTAACTTAAATAGAAAACTATCTTTAAAAAGATTTTTCCTCAAAAAGCATTTTATTTTAAAAATCTGATTTAATTTTTTTTAAAATCAATTTACATTTATTTTTTTTAATAATTGATTTTTATCCACCCTGTGGACTGCGAAAGCCCCACAGGGAGAGCTCTCAGAGAAGTGGGAAACAGCATCAAAATCAAACTGCCATTGGACTTCATGGCAAGTCACACACACACACCTCATTAATGTTGTTCTTTTGCCTCTCGTCGCTTTCTCCCCTCCCCCCTTTTATCAGTAAGTGAAGTGACCGTACCTCAAAATCTGAATCCGGCCAAGCGCCCCCGCCGGCAGGACTGGGACGGAGAGCTCTATGAAAACGGGTCTTTCTACTTTGCCAAAAGGCCCCTGATCGAAAAGGGGTATTTGCAGGTTGGTGCAGATGTTGAGCTGGGAATTTCGTCCGTCCCATCTTAAGAGTTTTTCTTCTTTTCTTTTTGAAATTGTGCTCTAAGGTGAGCTTGAGACTCCTGTCTCCCAGGTCTCAGTCCATTACTCTTTTTTCCCCTCAAATTTTTTTATTGATTTCCCCTCCAAAAAAATTAAAAATCAAACTTAGTAACATTGTTAAGTGACTTCCTCGTATCTCCCTGGTTGAATTTCAGTGGATATCATTCTAACGGTTTCCCAAAACCAATATTCTTATAAAATTAACTTAATCACTTAACATCTTTCTTTCTTTCAAATTCCACATTAAACATATTAATTCATCACATTACCTATTCCAATCCTAAGCTTATCTGTTTTTTGCAAGCATCTCCAATTAATTTAACTTAACATATTTAACTAAATAGTCTTTAAATTTCACCCATTCTTCCTGATACTCCTCCTCCTTCTGGTCGTGGACTCTTCCGGTCAGCTCGGCCAGCTCCGAAAAATCCATCATTTTCATCTGCCAGTCTTCCACTGTTGGTACTTCTTGTGTTTTCCAATTCTTAGCTAATAAAATTCGGGCAGCAGTTGTGGCATACAAAAATAATTTAACATCTTTCTTGGGCAATTCCCAACCAGTCCAATACTCTTAACACTACACAACACTTATTTCAATGCAGCTCCCTTAATTGCTCTTTTAAATACTTACATTATGGGAAGGAATCCTGGCTGGCTGGGTGCGTGTCTTCTTTCCTGTGCCATTCCCCCACACAAAAAAATCCCCCTTCAAAGCTGCCATTTGCCCCAAAGGTGCCACTGAGAGCCCCTGTGGTGTAATACTTAAGAGTGTTGGACTGAGCCCTGGGAAACCAGGATTCTTGTCCCAAATCAGCAATGAAGCTCACTGGGTGACCTTAGGCCATTTCTCAACCTAACCCACCTCACAGGGTTGTTGTGAGGATAAAATGGGGAGAAAGGGGATCAATGTAATAAACAAATATGTTGCAATGGCACCTTCTGGGCAAACACCAGCCTTTTTTGCTGGCTGTGGGGGGGATTTGGCAGGAAAATTGAAAGGGGAGAAGGTTTAGAACTTCCTGCCTGCGTTGTGGTTCCCCAGCAAGGTAACTGTTTGAAAGCAGTGCTTATCTGAGATTTTAATGATACAATATCCAGTAATCTGGCTGCTGCATTTTGGACCTGAATTGACAGTTCCTAGCCGTCTCCAAGGGCAGCCCCACGTGGAGCACATTGCAGTAGTCTAGTCTGGGCTGGCTCATGGAGTGCAGTGGACAAGATATAAACCTTGTCAAGTCAAAATAAATAAGTGGAAAGGTGTAGGAGGAGGCTCCAGTGTAGCGCAAGACCAGAGAGACTTTAGTTTGCATTCACACCTGGCTAAGAAAGCTACCAGTTTGCCTTGCTTAGGCGCTTAAGCTCTGGTCTCCTTGAGACCCTTCCAGGAAGCATTAAGTGGCCGACTTCCTTCCTTCCTTCCTTCCTTCCTTCCTTCCATCCATCCATGTTGGGAATGCCTTCTGCTGCTGGAGAAAGGGTTGGGTAGAGGCCCCTGCTGCTCTCCAGGTGGTTGCATGTGCCCCAGAGGTCGTTTGACATGAAATACCACATGCTGGCATATTCTGCCCCTTCCTCCCTCTCTGCTTCAGCCAAACTGACTGGCGTGTTCTTTTAATTTTGCTTAGGGTGGGAAAATGGCTTATTACGAAATGCGTGCCGAGCATAGCGTGGATATAGATGTTGACATTGACTGGCCCATTGCAGAACAAAGAGTCCTGCGGTAATATATGTGTATATTTCATTTATTTGGCGCCTCCACAGTTTGCTCCAATTTGTATTACATGTGTTTGTTTTAAGGTAAAGGGACCCCTGACCATTAGGTCCAGTCGTGACAGACTCTGGGGTTGCGGCGCTCATTTCGCTTTATTGGCCGAGGGAGCCGGTGTACAGCTTCCAGGTCATGTGGCCAGCATGACTAAGCCGCTTCTGGCAAACCTTCCCGCTGAAGCGGTACCTATTTATCTACTTGCACTTTGACATGCTTTCGAACTGCTAGTTTGACAGGAGCTGGGACAGAGCAACGGGAGCTCACCCCCCTTCGCAGGGATTCGAACCGCTGACCTTCTGATCGGCAAGTCCTAGGCTCTGTGGTTTAACCCACATATAATTTTAGTGTTCACGTTATGCTGTTCACCGTCATATGGCAGTCTTTTGCTTAATGTTGATGGTATAGAAATTTTTGCCCTTTGCCTTGTCAGACCTCACCAGGAGTACTGTGTCCAGTTCTGGGCACCACAGTTCAAGAAGGACACTGACAAACTGGAACGTGTCCAGAGGAGGGCAACCAAAATGGTCAAAGGTGTGGAAACGATGCCTTATGAGGAACAGCCAAGGGAGCTGGGCATGTTTAGCCTGAAGAGGAGGTTAAGGGGTGATATGATAGCCATGTTCAAATATATAAAAGGATGTCATATAGAGGAGGGAGAAAGGTTGTTTTCTGCTGCTCCAGAGAAGCGGACACGGAGCAATGGATCCAAACTACAAGAAAGAAGATTCCACCTAAACATTAGGAAGAACTTCCTGACAGTAAGAGCTGTTTGACAGTGGAATTTGCTGCCAAGGAGTGTGGTGGAGTCTCCTTCCTTTGGAGGTCTTTAAGCAGAGGCTTGACAACCATATGTCAGGAGTGCTCTGATGGTGTTTCCTGCTTGGCAGGGGGTTGGACTCGATGGCCCTTGTGGTCTATTCCAACTCTATGATTCTAGTACACAAATCCAGACGTGTCCCTAAGACTGTTGGATGGTGCCTTGTACGCCTCCTTCCAGCAACTCCTGCAGCCAAGCTGGTGTGAAATGTATTGCTCTGTTTTCCTTTGGACCACATCAGCAAGGCTGGGGGGGGGATCTTGTTGTCTGGGCAGCCCAGGACCTCCACACACACCGTCCAGGCTCCAGGAGAGGCCACTTTGGTGCTGCTAAGGCAACTTACCAGTTTCTGCAGCCACAGCAGGTGCTCTGATTCTCCAGCACTTTGACTTCACCCCTAGATGTGCACTCCATTGTCTCTCGAGACATACGGATGCCCACAACAAAAATGAATTTTTTGCAAATGAATAATGTCTTATGAATTTTTAAATTGAAGAGTGCTATAAAAACATAAATAAAATTTAAAAAACGGCCTCGGTCCTGTATACCTGAAGGAGCGTCTCCACCCCCACTGAGATCCAGCGCTGAGGGCCTTCTGGCGGTTCCCTCATTGCGAGAAGTGAGGTCACAGGGAACCAGGCAGAGGGCCTTCTCGGTGGTGGCGCCCGCCCTGTGGAACGCCCTCCCATCAGATGTCAAAGAGATAAACAACTACCTGACATTCAGGGAAGTTTTTAATGTGTGACATTTTAGTGTATTTTTGGTCTCTGTGGAAGCCGCCCAGAGTGGCTGGGGAAACCCAGCCAGATGGGCGGGGTACAAATAATAAATTATTATTATTATTAATGTAAGGAATGCATACCTAAAATGTCCAGCCACACCGTGGCCCAGTTTTCATTGAGGTTGAAAACCTGTGCCTGGGCTATACCATTCCATCCTGCGATTGGTGATTCACACGATCAAATACTTCCTATATGCAAAAATGCCCTCTTCAAAGGAAGAAAAAAACAGGTAGAAGGTGTGGCAATCACGCAGGGTCCCCGGACGTTTCACTGTCTGTTGATCCCTCTGACACCACTTTATTTCTTGCTGCCACCACCCAGGCCCTACGTGGGACAATACTGAGTCCAGTCAGGGTTAAATTGAAACAAAAACTTTTGTTTATTTATTGCAGTTTAACAAGCGTGTGGTTTCATAAACAGTATCAGTCAATTACATTCATGGGGTGCCTATCCAGTCCTATAACTTTCACTACCTGCTCTCTCTCACTAAACCACCTCTCCGATATTTACTTGTCTTCCTAGCTCCTAACTGTTCCTGACTCAGCCTATTTTGTTACACTAATTCAACCTACGCACAACTCTATCCCAATTCACTCCCACTCCACCCAACGAACTCTCCCTTTGCCCCTCCCAGAGCTGGTTTTATAGTCCTTCTGACTCCACCCCATGGGTCATGACTGGGCAGCCTGTTTAACTATTTCACCTCCAGCACTCTCATATGTTAACGTCACAGAAGGCTAGCCTAGCTTTCTTTATTGCTGACACCGGCTTGTTCAGGTGGAAAAATATATTGGGTTGTTAGAGGAAAAATATATTGGGTGGTTTAAAGACTCTATCAAGGCAAATCTTAAAAAATGTAGTATAAACACCAACAACTGGGAAACTCTGGCCTGCAAGCTCTCCAATCGGAGAACAGCCTTTACCAAAGGTGTAATGGGCTTTGAAGACACTCAAACTTAGGACAAAAGGGACAAATGTGCTAAGAGGAAGAAGGCACGCTTGGCATACCCTCACCATGATCAGCTTCTGCCCGGAAACCAATGTCCCCACTGTGGAAGGACATGTGGGTCCAGAATTGGCCTCCACAGTCACTTACGGACTCACTGTTAAAACCGTGTTTATGGAAAACAATCTTACTTGGCTACGAGTGATCGCCAAAGAAGACAGAAGTGGTGTAACCCAGAGGCAGATTTGCAACCTCAGTGAGAATGAAGTTCCTATTGTCTCATTTGTTTCCCCTTTCCTCAGTCATGTGAGATTGCATAGCAGAGGCAAATGTCACACACAAACACACAGACGCCAGCCCCTTACTTATGATTGCCACATCCATCTTTCCAGGTACGGCTACTTCGGTAAAGAGGCCTTGAAAGAGGTGAAGCTGCTGGTTTGTACCATTGACGGATGCCTCACCACGGGCCACATCTACGTCTCGGGAGACGAGAAGGAGATTCTTTCCTACGACGTCAGGGATGCGACTGGAATCCGCCTGCTTCAGAAAAGAGGTGTCGAGGTGTGTCTTCGCTTCTTGCAGCTGTCTTGCGGCTGATTCACCCGTCAGGGTTGCCAGAAGGAACTTGCCTTTTGTTGTAAGGAAAGCAAGTTTCTAGATCTCAGCATTTCGGGGAGAGAACCTCAAATGGCTCAGCGTGGTTGGGACTTTAAAAGGGGCTTAGCGGGGCCTGATTAAATGCGGCCATTTCTCCCATCTCCCGCTAAACTCAGGAACTGCACGTATGAGTTCACAAAAAGAAAACATCCCAAATTGCTGCAATAAGATTTGTTCCAACAAGATTTCATCGTGTTATTTTTACAGGAGCTTTTCACGTTGCAAAACTATTGTGTAAAGCTCCTGTAAAAATAACAAGATAAAATTCACTCCCCCAGAAAACAGTGGTACCAACCAACCCAGGCGACTTTTTTCTTTCTTTCTTTTTTTGTATGTTTCTATTATTATTATTTTGGGGAAATAATTTTTATTTGATTTTACAAGTACAGAGTTATAACAATACAAAATACATATCCATATTTAGAGAGTTCTTTGAATCTCTAGACTTCCCACCTTTCCCCTCCATGGGCCCTATTATAAACCTTTTCAACTGCATATTATTTCATCATCCAAATTTGATGTCTTTTCCTTTTCATCCACAGTACAGTGGTACTGCAGGTTAAGTACGGAGGTCCGTTCTTAACCTGAAACTGTTCTTAACCTGAAGCACCACTTTAGCTAATGGGGCCTCCTGCTGCTGCCGCGCCACTGCTGCATGATTTCTGTTCTCATCCTGAAGCAAAGTTCTTAGCCTGAAGCACTATTTCTGGGTTAGCAGAGTCTGTAACCTGAAGCGTATGTAACCTGAAGCGTATGTAACCCGAGGTACCACTGTATATTCTACATTAGAAGTGTTATAGTGTTTTCATCTGCTTATAGTGGTTTCTCCAGTAAATTATAAATTTTCCCCATTCTTTTTTGAAGTTTTGGTCTTCTTGGTACCTGAGCTTTCCGGTCAGTTTTACCATTTCATCGTAGTCCATCAGCTTATTTTGCCATTCTTCTCTGGTAGGGACTTTGTCTTTCCATCTCTTAACCCAGATGACTTTCAAAGAGGAGCAGACTATTGCTGGCTGCTAGCCGTGCTGGAAACTATGCTCTGTGAGAAGCCTGCAAGAGGAGATGAACTCCTCTTCTGGCCTCTAACATGCTCTGCCTCCACAATTGAAGGCAGCTATGGTTCTGAATAAGGGACGCGGGTGGCGCTGTGGGTTAAAGCCTCAGCGCCTAGGGCTTGCCGATCGAAAGGTCGGCGGTTCGAATCCCCGCGGCAGGGTGCGCTCCCGTTGCTCGGTCCCAGCGCCTGCCAACCTAGCAGTTCGAAAGCACTCCCGGGTGCAAGTAGATAAATAGGGACCGCTTACTAGCGGGAAGGTAAACGACGTTTCCGTGTGCGGCTCTGGCTCGCCAGAGCAGCGATGTCACGCTGGCCACGTGACCCGGAAGTGTCTCCGGACAGCGCTGGCCCCCGGCCTCTTGAGTGAGATGGGCGCACAACCCTAGAGTCTGTCAAGACTGGCCCGTACGGGCAGGGGTACCTTTACCTTTTACCTTTTATGGTTCTGAATACCAGTTGCTGGAAGTTGCTCAGGACAGGATAGTAAATAATAATAATAATAATAATAATAATAATAATAATAATAATAATAAATTTATTATTTATACCCCGCCCATCTGGCTGGGTTTCCCCAGCCACTCTGGGCGGCTGCCAACAAAAGACTAAAATACAATAACCTATTAAACATTAAAAGCTTCCCTAAACAGGGCTGCCTTTAGATGTCTTCTAAAAGTCTGGTAGTTGTTTATTTCTTTGACATCTGATGGGAGGGCGTTCCACAGGGCGGGCGCCACTACCGAGAAGGCCCTCTGCCTGGTTCCCTGTAACTTGGCTTCTCGCAGCGAGGGAACCGCCAGAAGGCCCTCGGCGCTGGACCTCAGTGTCCGGGCAGAACGATGGAGGTTCACGTCCCCCTTGCTCACGTCCCCCTTGCAGGCTTCCTACAGACACCTGGTCGGGCACTATGAGAACAGGATGCTGGACTAGGTAGACCATTGGACTGATCCTGCAGGCTCCTCTTGTGTCCATAGGTGCGGCTGATCTCCGAGAGGGACTGCTCATCGAAGACTCTTTCTGCCATGAAGTTGGGCTGTGCCGCGGAAATCAACGTGGCTGACAAGCTGCTGGTCGTAGAGAAATGGAGGAAGGAAATGGGGCTTTGCTGGAAGGAAGTGGCCTATTTAGGTGAGGCTTGATCTCCACCTGAAAAATCTAGCTTTGTGCTGTATGTCAGAGATGGGGAGCCTGTGGACTACAACTCCCATCATCCCTGGCCATTAGCTGCGCTGGCTGGAGCTGCTGGGAGCTGGAGTCCATCAACAACTGGAGAGCCAACCCACAAGCTTTTATTACATACACTATATTGCATGTGGGATGGAAGGGTGCCAAATTTTGGGCTTACCTCCAGCACAAACAACAAGGCAGCCCGCGGGTTCCATGCCAAGGTTGGTCTGCCCTGATCTAAAGTATCTATGACAGCTCTAGTCAAAGTTTGCATCTAAGGGTTTGGTGTTTTTTTTACATGTTTGGTCTAATCTAGGGATGACCATCCTTTGACCTTCCATACGCTGGTGAACTACAGCTCCCATCAGCCCTTGCCTGCTTGACCAATGGCCAAGTGTAACACGATTTGTAGTCCAACAACATCTTGAAGGCCACAGATTAGCCACCCTAGAGAATCTCATCTTCTGAAGAATACAAGCAAAATTATGACGCTTACCAAGCAAAGGCTCCTGTTCCCAATGTGCTGGGAAGTTCTCCTGCTCAGCTGTGATTCCTTCAGTGCAGGTGATTGGATTAGATGACCCCGGGGGGGGGGGGTTCCCTGTTCCGTTGAGCATCCGTTTAGGCTGCGAACAGCGGGACTGTTGTGGCGTCCAGTCCGCTTCCACTGTGCCAACCTGCTTCTCCCCGCTACCAGCAGAGTATCTTGCGCAACGTGTGCCTGTGCGGAAGGAATCTCAGCCATGCAGTAAAACTCTCGTACAACAGCTTCTCTATTCTACGAAGCTTTTTTTTTTTTTTTAAAGTAAATTTTTATTCAAAATTTGTAAAGAAAAAAGTACAAACACATACAAAAATAAACATTTTAACATAACTTATTCATCCTATTTTCATGCTATACAAAAATAAAAACGTACAATCATACCAACAAATAATATAAACCTTGGACTCTACTTAGCCTTTGACTTCCCTTCACCCTTTTGGTAAGTATCAAATAAATCCCAGGTAGCGTAATTAGTTTATTAAAGTTTATAGTTATTAGCTGATAAAGTTTTTCTAATACCGCCAGTTCCTCCTATATATCCGTTCCAATATATTTCCAAAATTTACACCAATTTTTTTGAAATTTCTGGTCATCTTGGTCTCGTATTCTGCTTGTTAATCTTTCTAGCTCAGCATAATTAATCATTTTGACCTGCCAGTCACTTACATTAGGTATAGTTTCTATTTTCCAGTTTTGTGCCAGCATAATTCTTGCGGCTGTGGTGGCATAGAGAAATATTTTTTTATCTTCATTTTTTATTTCCTTACCCATAATTCCCAGCAAAAAGGCCTCAGGTCTTTTGGGGAAAGTATATTTAAAGACTTTTTTAAGTTCATTATAAATTGCTTCCCAAAAAACCTTCACCTTGTTGCATTGCCACCACATATGGTAAAGGTCTCCCTGCACTTCACCACATTTCCAGCATGTCTTATTTTCTGATCTATACATTTTAGCCAATTTTGCCGGCGTGAGGTACCATCTATAGAGCATTTTCCAAACATTTTCTCTCAAGCTCGTACAGGCCGTAAATTTAATATCTCTATTCCACAATTTCAACCACTTTTCAAATTCGATGTTATAGCCGAAGTCAGATGCCCATTTAATCATTGCCTTTTTGACTTCCTCTTCCTTTGTATGCCATTCCAGTAATATGTCATATAATTTAGACAAAGTTTTGTTTTTTCCTTCTATTATTTCTATATTGAATTTTGATTTCTTATCCTCAAAGCCCATTTTTCTTTTATCTTGCTTTAACATATCATTCACCTGATGATATTGTAGCCAACCGGTGAATTGATCCTTTATTTCCTCATACGGTTTAAGTTTAGGCCCTTGTTCTGAATTTCTTACCAAATCTTCGTAAGTGGCTGTCTTCCCTTCCTTGTTAATCTTTTTTATTGTTAAGACCTCTACCGGTGAGATCCACCATGGTGTTTTTCTTTCAAGAAGATTCTTATTTCTTTCCCAGACCTGATATATTGGGCCCCTGAAAATATGATTTAGGAAAGCCCGATGGACTTTCACCTTCTCATACCAGAGATATGCGTGCCACCCATAGCAATTATTAAAACCTTCTAAATCCAATAGATCTCTGTTCTCCAATTTTATCCAATCTTTTAGCCAAAGTAGGCACGCTGCTTCATAGTATAAACTTAAATCTGGGAGAGCAAAACCTCCTCTTTCCTTTTTATCAGTTAATATTTTCATTTTAATCCTTGGTCTTTTCCCCTGCCAGATGAATTTCATCAGGGTTCTCTGCCATTCTTTACATTGTTTTAAACCTTTAATAACTGGAAGAGTTTGAAATAAAAACAACATCCTCGGCAAAACATTCATTTTAACCACTGCTATCCTCCCTAAGAAGGAAAATTTCATCCTCCCCCATATTTCCAAATCTTTCTTTATTTTTTGCCATGTAACTTCATAATTATCTTTATATAGATTTATGTTTTTTGCCGTGATCCACACTCCCAAATATTTGACTTTTTTCACCACCATGATTTCCACTTTTTGTTCTAGATCTTTCGTTTCTTCTTTAGTTAGATTTTTAACCAGCATTTTAGTTTTATTCTTATTTACCTTAAAACCTGCCACCTCTCCAAATTCCTCAATTTTTTGTAATGCTTCTTTTACACTATCATGTGGGTCTTCCAAAGTCAAAACAATATCATCGGCAAAGGCTTTAATTTTAAATTCCCTCTTTCCTACTCTAATTCCTTTCACTTCTGTTGCCTCTCTCAGTCTCTTATTAAGTACTTCCAAAATTATAATGAATAATAAGGGGGATAGGGGGCAACCTTGTCTGGTCCCTTTGTAAATGTTATAGTATTCTGTTGTATTATTATTTATCACCAGCTTTGCTTTCTGTTCTTTGTATATTGCTTCTACGCCTCTTCTAAATGTTTCGCCAATTCCCATCCTCTCCAAAACCTTCTTTAGGAAGTTCCATGATACATTGTCAAATGCCTTTTCGGCGTCTATGAAAACCAATGCAGCTTTTCTGTCTATTTTCATATCCAGGTATTCAATAATGTCAATCAGGTTCCTTACATTATCCCGTAGTTGTCTCCCTGGGAGAAATCCTGTCTGATCACCGTGAATTTTGTTAGTCAAAATTTTTGTTAGTTCCGTTGAGCATCCGTTTAGGCTGCGAACAGCGGGACTGTTGTGGCGTCCAGTCCGCTTCCACTGTGCCAACCTGCTTCTCCCCGCTACCAGCAGAGTATCTTGCGCAACGTGTGCCTGTGCGGAAGGAATCTCAGCCATGCAGTAAAACTCTCGTACAACAGCTTCTCTATTCTACGAAGCTTTATTGTACAGCAGCTAAAATAAACAGTTCGGCCAGGAGAGAGCGAAGGCATGATGCTTCTCCTGTCGCAGCAAAACAGGAAGTAAAAGGTTCACATAACAAAGATGCGAACACACCCCCAGTGACAGGACATAACATCCCATGAGCTGTTAACCCTATAAGCTCTGGGTATCCTCACAGTCCCTTCCAACTCTCCAATCCTATGAGCCTATGAAACCTTAGGTTTTGTGGTCTACTGCTGCAAGCACCTTCATTGCCTTGGGAAAGAAACTCTGAAGCTTCGATGAATGAATGCTTGGGATCAACAGTCTTCTACTAGCGATGGGCTTTTGTTGTTAGGGTTCTGATCGAATGTGTGTCTCTGTCGCTGCAGGAAATGAGGAATCGGATGTGGAGTGCCTGAAGAAAGCTGGCATGAGCGCCGTCCCCGCCGACGGCTGCCCTGCTGCCCAGAAAGCCACCGGCTACATCTGCAAATGCAACGGTGGCCGCGGCGCCATCCGGGAGTTTGCAGAGCACATATTCCTCCTAATGGAAAAGGTGAATTCAGCTGGAAAGAAGCTCTGCTGATGAAATTCTGAAGCCGCCACCCTTGGGGAAGCAGTCTCCTAATTCATTTCTTATCGTTCACTCACTGTGATCTTTTTTCTTTTCTTTTTTTTTGACATTTCAAGAATCCCAAAGGGCATTCTCAGGAAATTGTAAAAGCATGGATTTCCAAGCATTTAAATCAAATCGTTATGTTTCCTGTTGTGGTCCCATGCTGGCATAAAAAAAGCCAGCCAAATCAAGCCAATATTGCAATATAGCTCAACATCATGGGTCTTGCTGGAATGTTAAAGGTTGCAACATTCATGTCTGCCTCTCTCGGGGGGGGGGGGGGCTGGGGTTTTCTTTGGCAAATGTGATTCTTGGTGGTTTGGGTGTGTTTTTTGAAGGCAAATGTAGGATTTTATCAGTATCAAATGCTATTGTGCAAGGAACGGATTTGACAGGAACAAGAAGGGGCCATTGTTTTCAAAGTTCAGTTCCTTGCAGATATAATAATAATAAGTTATTATTTATACCCCGCCCATCTGGCTGGGTTTCCCGAGCCATTCTGGGCGGCTCCCAACAGAATAGGGAGTGGTCTTCTACGTGAGAAAGGGTCTGCGCTCTCCTGTCTAGTAGGAATACAGGCGTTCCACTGTCCATCTCTCAAGAATTGTGCTCCTGCAGCAAGGTTATGTATAAGGACTCTCAAGTTTGCAAGAAACTGAATCCCACCGCTGTTCTGGATTGTACAGTGGAGGGGCCCATAATCCAGGGGTGGCATGCATGCTTTATGTGTGGAAAGTTCCCAGATTCAAACCCCGGCATCTCCAGTTAATAGGATCAGCCGGGTGGTAATGTGAAAGGGCCGTAGACGCTTGATCAATAATCCTGGGCTTGATGGACACATAATCTTCCTACAAAGGCAGTGATAGGCTGCCCTGGTTCCATTAGTTGCTGCTCAAGATGCCGTCTGGTTGGCTATCTGTTTGACTTTTGCAACGGTTCATAGGCCACGCTACCTTTTGAGTCTGGTCTTAAGGTCTGATTCTCTTTTTCTCCTCCCATCCCTCTTCCCTTATTGGAGAACGTCCCCGTCCCCCGTCCCGCCCGGAGGGTGCATATGATAATTCTGCCTTCCTTATAATCCTTCCTATATATTGAGGGAAGGTGGCTTGCATGCTGAGGAAAGGCTAGGGTCAACACTTCTCCCCAAAATGCTGAATTCTGAATCGGCAAGGGATAGGTTGGGTTTTTGTTTGACCATTCAAACATTCAGCTCCCTCACCTGCAGCAAGACGTAACACAGTCTGATAAACGTTTTCCCTCCTGTCCTTTTGGGCTGAGTTTAACTGAAGGATAAGCTCCCCCTGAAACCACTTAACTGCACAATGCACAGCACAGTGGGTGCTTCGTTTTAAAGGACAATAGAGGCATTTGCTAGCTGCTATGTACTCGGGGCCAGTAATCATAATCTAGAAGTGCTCTGTTTGTTTGCAAGCACCGCACACATAGAGACTTGTATCCACCCTTGCTTAATGTTGGCTGGGTCACATTTATGCATAGATCCAGTATACACTGGATTAAACCATGTGCTTTGCAGTCTTCTACCTTCTTCTCAGATATCCCTTCCTGGCAAGACTGGATATATGGACCTCTGAAACCAATTCTAAAAACCTAGGGGTTCTCCATGTTCAAAACAGGTCACCTCTTCAGAGGAAGAAAACCCCACGCTTGTGAGCAGAATACCTGAAAATAAGTTTGGCTATATTTATCTTCTGTTTCCCTCCCCCCCCCAAAAAAAAAAGGAATAGCCAGGTGTGAACTGGAGTGGATTTTGGCCAGTTTGGAAGAGACAGGAGAGGAGTTGATGATTTAGTACCAAAGGAATGGTCTTCCTTTCTCCTGAGACCTCAACACTTAAGCAGAAAGATGAGCAATGAATTTATATTGAATTACTTTTGAGCGGAGGGTGGGTTGTACTGTTTTCTGGCTGTTGTATTCAGAAAATTACCAAGCGCTGGGGACTTGCAAGTCAGGAGAGTGCTTTTGCACTCAGGTAGCAACAGAATTCTGTATCAGATGGACTTTGGCCTCCCGCAGCAGGAATCTTCTTACTTGCTTAAATACTGTATAGGATAAATTTTCTTCCAGCGGGTGGAGTTATGTTTGGTCCTTTGTGTTTAGTAAATTTCTGGGAGCTGGAAATGGAGAACTTCTACTGCTCAGCTGCTCGATTGGGTAAAAGGCTATATATATATATATATATATATATATGATAATTGATTTGTCTTGTTGATTATTTATAAGCTCAGATAATGGAGCTGCCAATGGTTAAAAGAAATCTTAATCAGAGTAGGCTTCGCTTTTCTATCCAAGAATAAAAAAGGTTTAAAAAAAAACACTGGTTTGGTTTGGTTTGGTTTGGTTTGGTTTGGTTTGGTTTTTCCTCCTTGGGCTAGTCACTGCCTCTCGGCCTACCTCACAAGGTTGTCGTGGGGGGGTTAAATGAGGAGGAGGAAAACCATGTATGCCACCTTGAACTCCTTGGATATTATCTCACTTATGATATAAATGCAATAAATAAATAACCTACCTCACTGGATGCTTGTGAGGATAAGAGGCAGAGGTGCGGAGGGGGTGTACTAATAAGTTGGACTGGCGATCCTTTGCCCTAGAGACCCAGGGCAAGCATGATTTGTACCAGTCCAGGGGTAACTAGCTGATGAAGTCAAAGGTAGCTGTGCACCCTTTGCAAGGTTCAGCGAGGGATGGTCTTAAATCAGCGGGGTTTGCTTGGAAAACAACTGCCCTGAGAACTGCAAAAATCGGATGCTTCCCCTCTGCCTCCTGTTTCAGCCACTAGATGTTGCTGCCACCTTCCTCCTCCAAAGCCAGAAGCACAGAATTGCCAGGGGTTTTGATCATATCGCAGCCTCCGGCTCTTTTCATTTACGCATCCCCGCTATAATTTGTGACGCCGATTTGTTAAAGGGTTGCAGGCGAGCTCGTAAAAACGACTGCCAGAATAGTCCCCACGGAGCGATACATATTTTTTCCCTGCTTTCTTTTTAAAATCCTCTGTGGCAGAGGGATTGAATTCTAAGCGCAGATAAGCGGCTGCAGGCTGGGGATATTGACATCGCACACATCACGGCCCGATAAATGGCTGTCTAAGAGGGGTTGGTCTGTCCGTAAGAACGCGCCCGATCTCAGAGGGGCACAATACCTCTCACCTCTAGATGTTGCTGAGTTTTTGTTTCCATCAGCTGCAGTCGGCATAGGCCAGGGTCCGAGATAATGGTCCGTGCTTAGTTAGACTGTGGAACTCACTCCCACAAGAGCCAGTGTTGGCCATCCACTTGGGTGGCTTCAGAAAATTAGATGGAGGGAAGGGTTAGGGTTCTCCTTACGTTCTCAGGAGACCAGCAAACATCAGTACGGCCGCAAGTTCCCCATCTCACAGTTTTGCCTTTTTTGCAGATATAAACTGTAGTCTTACATTTCTACATTTTACATTTCTTTTCTTTTTTTTGTATATAATTTTTATTAAATTTTCTGTTCTACAGTTTAAAACACTCATTTAAACATCCTTAAAATATCAGTGACTTTGCTTCTTCTCTTTCCATGGTTCATTTTGCATATCATAAATCCCTGCATATTTTACAAAAACTAAACCATTCAGGATTCCATTATTGCATCCATCAAAACTTATTTACACTGTTTAATTTATCTTAATGCTGCCAATGTTTTCAAGTGTACACAATTCCCCCCCCCCATATACTCAATAAACGTTTTCCAATCTTCTCATTAGCAAAACATGTCTTTCTAGTTCTGCAAACTTGACATTATGGAAATATGCCATTTCCCCCCCTGCAATTTGTCAATGCCTGCTAGGGTCGAACAATTTCTCCTTGTGCTGTGACTTTATTTTAGCCTCTTAAATGGCTAGTTTCATGCTTGACAGACTCGTTTACATTAGGTCTCTTTTTTTATTGGGTGGGGATCCCTGGTATCCCAGGTCAGAGTCCAGAACTCAAACCACTACACTGCCACTTCCAATACACAAGAAGGCAATATTAGCAGGTGATATCAAAGCCAAACATTTGCAATGTTGTAAAAACAGAAGGAACAGGAACCCCAGTGACCAAGTGGCGACAGACTATTTGGAGGGAGGAGAAAACAGAAAATGGGGGTAAGTGAAATGGAGTGGAGAGGCTTAAGATAAACTGCAACATTTGGTCACCGTTCCCACATTTGTGCTTTCTGTTTTCCTCTTTAGAAGAGACATAACCCCAAAACCTGGAGAATACAAGCCTTTTTAAAATATATACAGATCTCCCCAACAAACGTTTCCGTACAGTCACCAGCTGGTGGCTGGTTGCCATCACAATCAGAACTCGTAGACAAGATGTTTTGCCACTTCGCTAAATTTCATTTTCTTGTTAAATGTCTCTTCGAACATCCGGTTCTGTTTGGGGGTGAAATGGTTTTTCCAGTCGCCGACGGCACCTGGAGAATGAGCGATGGAAAAAATCTAAACTGCGCTCTGTCGCAGAGTCTGACTGCTCACTAAAGCCTGTTGCCTCTTCAGCTTCCAATGCCTCGTCCTTCTCCCTCTGACCACTCATGGTCGTCCCACCACCAAGCCCCTGGCTCTGAGCCTTTTTCCCTTGGGCATTCCCTGGCTGGTTTCTCTCACCATTCCTCTTTCCAACCAATCCCTGTACAGATTGGATTGCTGCAGCTGCGTCCTGCCTTGCTGATCCTACATTGAGCAGTGGGTTGAGCTAGATGTCTTCCCAACTCTAAACATTTATCTATTTTTTGCTCCCTGATGCATTGTGCTCAGTGCTGACTACCTTCCACGGCCCCCAAGGCTCTTGCCAGCCCAGCCATGTTGCCGGAGCAAACTTCACCCTGGGACTGAACTTAGGACGTCCTATGTTAAAGGCTTCGCCTCTACCCGCTCCAGGTGAGGTTTTCTTCGGGCTGCCACCCTGTCAACCCTTTCACCTGTTCACGATGTACCCAGTGTATTGCCTTGTTTTCTTCGCTGTGTCTGGCCTCTGTTTGGTTTCAGACACTTTGTCCTGCAATACTGGCTGGGTGGATTATATGAGTGTTGGCAAGCGGGAGAGAAGCAGGGGAATTAAGATAAGATAAGGGAGATAACAGAGGGGGGGGCTGGAGTCCTCATTCACCTGGAAAACGGCAGCCCTTGGGAGTAAACAGGATCCTATCAATAGCATCCCACCAGTTGGTTATTCTAGTGCTCCATAGGGCACGGCGAAAGGAAAATTGCTTGGAAACATGGCTATTTATGAGAAATGTGCACTAAATTGCTGGTTTCCATGAGGACATTTATTTATTCATTTTTTAAAAATGCAAACGAGTGCAGCAGCAATGAAGTGGCCTGAACTTCAGGCTTTAGAAACGAGAGAGTGGGAGAAGCAGAAATGGACCAGTTTTGCTCGTCCCTCCTCCGCCTCCCCTTACCTTTTCGGAATACCAGCTTCCGGTTGGATGTGAGCGCGCAGACCGTGTGGTTCGGGTCGTTCTCCTTCTCCGTGTTGGTTTTCATCTCGCTGAACGAGGATTTCTTGCAGATCTCGTGGATTCTGCTCTCGCTGGTGTTGAGTGCCAGGAAAGCACTGACTTTCTTCACAACCTTTGGGAGGTCCTGGGAGACGAAAACAGCAGAGGATGGGGTGAGCTGCTGCAGGCACCTGCTCCATTGAAGTGAATGGGGAGCACACAAAACCGTAGCCATTTTTGTGCTTTTCGGCAAAGACTGGGCAGGGCTATGGGTGGTTTTATTGGGGGGGGGGGTAAAGCAGGCATGATTTTGCACCTGAATCATGGAAGAACCTGAGACAGTAATCCGATGAACCAAGGATGGGGAACCTGCAGACCTCTGGATTTTGCTAGAATACAATTCCCATCATCCTTGTGCATTGGCCAAGCTGACTGGGGAATAAAGGGAGTTGGGAGTCCAATAATACTTGGAGGACCACAGATTTCCCACTTCTCCTGTACAGAATTACCAGGAAGGAAGCACTAATGAACTCAGCTACTTCTTGGTTGTCATGCCTAAATAAAGATGAGCAGAACAGAAGCTTCCCACCCATCTTCCTGGTACTGAAGCGCCCAAGCTCCGCTGGCAGCATTAACACAGGTGCTACCTTGCAAGGAAGGGATGTGGGTGGCGCTGTGGGTTAAACCACAGAGCCTAGGACTTGCTGATCAGAAGAACGGTGGTTCGAATCCCCGTGATGGGGTGAGCTCCCGTTGCTCGGTCCCTGCTCCTGCGCATCTAGCAGTTCGAAAGCATGTCAAAATACAAGTAGATAAATAGGTACTGATCTGGCGGGAAGGTAAACGGTGTTTTCCATGCATGTTTCCATGCGCTGTTCTGGTTCGCCAGAAGCGGCTTAGTCATGCTGGCCACATGACCCGGAAGCTGTACGCCAGCTCCCTCGGCCAATAAAGCGAGATGAGCGCCGCAACCCCAGAGTCGGTCACGACTGGACCTAATGGTCAGGGGTCCCTTTACCTTTATTCACCTTGCAAGGAGATATGAGTGGGGGAACAACTTAACATTCCACATTTATTCCCTCTCAGGATGCCATTGTTGGCATTTAATAAAGGACACCTGAGTTCAAATTCTTACTCAGCAAGAAAACTCACTTGGGTAACCTTTGGGGCTAACATACCTCGCAAGGTTGTTGTTCAGGTCAAAGTAACAAAAAGGTAAAGGAAAGGACCCCTGGACAGTTAAGTCCAGTCAAAGGCGACTATGGGGGTGCGGCGCTCATCTCGCTTTCAGGCCAAGGGAGCTGGTGTTTGTCCACAGACAGTTTTCCAGGTCATGTGGCCAGCATGACTCAACCACTTCTGGTGCAACGGGACGCCGTGGTGGAGGCCAGAGCGCACGGAAACGCTGTTTACCTTCCTGCTGCAGTGGTACCTATTTATCTACTTGTACTGGCGTGCTTTCGAACTGCTAGGTTAGCAGGAGCTGGGACAGAGCAACAGGATTTCACCCCGTTGTGTGGATTCAAACCACCGACCTTCTGATCAGCAAGCCCAAGAGGCTCAGTGGTTTAGACCACAGCACCACCTGCTCCCAATTCAGGTCAAATTAGAGGGAGGATCGCATATGTTACTCTGATCTTTTTTGGAGGAAAGGTAGAATAAACGTCTTAACTGTTTGCTACTTGAGCATCATAAATTTAACTTTCACAGGAATTTAGGAGTTTGCTGAGTTTAGATTTGCCTTGCTTTTCTCTTCCTACTTGGGGGAAAAAGCAGATTTTAGTCTTACCTGTTTCATATCTTCATAGAACAAGAACAGAGTGTTTTTGTCATCTGTGTGTTTCTCCCAGCTTAAGACATGGTCAAACCAGGATCCGCAGACAACTAGGAAGGGAGAGCAAAAATGAGATTATTATTGGAGGCATTTGCTTGGCCAGCGTTCAAATCCCCCACTCAGCCTAACCTACCTCACAGGGCTGTCATGAGCATAAAATGGGGCAGGGGAGAAAAATGGAGGAAAGGTTGAGTGTAAATGTAATAAAATAAATACATAAATTTCCATGAACTCTGCACAGCCAGAAGGATGGAGTGAAATTCTCACACAAGAGGAAGATAGGCCCTCCTAAAGATTATGTATAGCCACAGTCAAATTTTGGCTTCTTTCAGGCTGCCACCCATTCAGTACCCAGTCAGAGAGGTGGCTGGCATCTGTTTGTCTCGAGAGACAATGGAGTGAACCTCTGAGGGTGAAGTCAAATTGCTGCTTTGTCAGTGTGTATGGAGGTCTTGGGATACCCAGACGACAAGACTCCCCTCTCGACCTTGCTAATGTGATTCAAAGGAAAGCAGAGCAAGACGTTTGGCACCAGCTTGGCTGCAGGAGTTGCCGGAAGTAGGCGTACAAGGCGCCATCCAACCTTCTTCTAGTCATTTCCCGCTTGGATTACTGCAACACGCTCCACGTGGGGCTACCTTTGAAGGTGACACGGAAACTGCAATTAATCCAGAATGCGGCAGCTGGACTGGTGACTGGGAGTGGCTGCCGGGACCACATAACACTGGTCCAGAAAGACCTACATTGGCTCCCAGTACGTTTCCGGGGGCAATTCAAAGTGTTGGTGCTGACCTTTAAAGCCCTAAACGGCCTCAGCCCAGCATACTTTAAGGAGCGTCTCCACCCCCATCGTTCTGCCTGGACACTGAGATCCAGTGCCGAGGGCCTTCTGGTGGTTCCCTCATTGCGAGAAGTAAGGTTACAGGGAACCAGGCAGAGGGCCTTCTCGGTAGTGGCGCCCGCCCTGTGGAACGCCCTCCCAGCAGATGTCAAGGAAATAAGCAGCTATCCTATTTTTAAAAGACATCTGAAGGCAGCCCTGTTTAGGGAAGCTTTTAATATTTAATGCTGTATTGTTTTTAACACTCAATTGGGAGCCACCCAGAGTGGCTGGGGGATTTGTGTAGGGTTTCTACTCCTTAGTCTTTTCTTTTCCTGAAGATATTCCACAAGGCAGTGGATGTTTGGGGTCAGGATTTCCTTCTCCTAGATGAGTTCTCTTCCCAGGTTGATGAACCCCATCTGCCCTTGACTTCCCTCTACGGCACGTGTAGAAACTGCCTTCTTGACGATTGGGTTCGCTATTGGTCTCGCCCACTCAATCCACCAGAGAGGAGAGACAGATAAAAATAAAAAGTCTTGTCCTATAGTCTAGGACAAGAGTGGGGAACATGTCACCTTCCAGATGTTGTTGGACTATAAGTCCCATTATCCATACTGTCTGGGCCAGATTGAAATCGTAGCACAGCAACATACAGAGGGCCAAAGATTCCCTTGCCCTTTACACTTTCTCTGTTGCTGTAAACCAGTTACCAGTCCTTCAGGCAAGAGTATGGAACCTGCAGCCTTCCAGATGCAATTGGACTACAACTCCCATCATCCCTTACCATTGGCTGGTGCTGATGTGAACTGGAGTTCAGCAGCATCTATAATAATAATATGGGCAGGGGTACAGTGGTACCTCAGGTTAAGAATTTAATTTGTTCTGGAGGTACATTCTTAACCTGATACTCTTCTTAACCTTAGGTACCACTTTAGCTAATGGGGCCTCCTGCTGCTGCCGTCGTGCAATTTCTGTTCTCATCCTGAAGCAAAGTTCTTAACCCGAGGTACTATTTCTGGGTTAGCGGAGCCTGTAATCTGAAGTGTCTATAACCTGAAGCGTCTGTAACCTGAGGTACCACTGTACTATTGTTTCTGTTTGTACTTACGGCATGCATTTTTGTGTTTTTATATTGCAAACCACCCTGTGATCTTTGGGTGAAGGGCAGCATAGGAATTTAATAAATAAAAATAAACATTCCCCAGCTCTGACTTAAATGGGCTGGTTGTTTTATCCAGCTAAGTCCACTTATTGCATTTAAGTCAAATCAAGTCCATGATGGAACAAAAAGGAAGAAAGGAAGGCATTTCAAGTCACCCTTCAAATTACTATTTTGATCCTTATCCTACAAATCACAGCATCAATTAGCGTTCCTTTGTTTGTTTGTTTTTTAATATTTTATTAAGGATTTTCTTGTTTTACAGAAGTGTAGTGCCTCGTTTTTTGTTTGGTTTTTTCATGTAACATTTTTACAAATCCATTTCATTTGTTGAGGCATTAGGGGGAGAAGAAAAAAGAAAGAGAGAAGAAAAGGGGGGGTGGAGAGAGGGAAGATGGATGGGGGTGGGGTCGGGTGGCGGTGTTTCTATACGTGTGTGTGTGTGTGTGTGTGTGTGTGTGTGTGTGTGTGATGCCTGAAACCTGCACAGCCACAGGGGAACTGCTGGCCAAAAGACAGAGCTTTCCACGACTCCTGGAAGCAGAATAAACGATGTGAAAGAAAGAAAGAAAAATTAGCGTTCCTTTGTTAATGACACCAATTCAATTTGTTGCTCGGTTGATCTTTGGATCTCCAGTTTTGTGGGAGCTTTTTTTTTCTTTTTCTTTTTACAGCCATGCAGTAAAAGGATGTGACCAATGTTTTGATAACAGGAACCAGGGCCCCATGCCCTTGACCTCAGCCGAGGGTTAATGCAGCTGCAATCAGAGTATCTGCATTGTGGTCTTCAGAACTTGGATCTGACATTCCAAAATAACCAACCTAAGGTAGGGGGATGGAAATGAGAGCTGGACCATAAAGAAGGTCGATAGCTGAAGAATGGATGCTTTTGAATTATGGTGCTGGAGGAGACTCTTGAGAGTCCCATGGACTGCAAGAAGATCAAACCTATCTATTCTGAAGGAAATCAGCCCTGAGTGCTCACTGGAAAGACAGATCCTGAAGCTGAGGCTCCAAGACTTTGGCCACCTCATGAGAAGAGAAGACTCCCTGGAAAAGACCCTGATGTTGGGAAAGATGGAGGGCACAAGGAGAAGGGGACGACAGAGGACGAGATGGCTGGACAGTGTTCTCAAAGCTACCAGCATGAGTTTGACCAAACTGCGGGAGGCAGTGGAAGACAGGAGTGCCTGGCGTGCTCTGGTCCATGGGGTCACGAAGAGTCAGACACGACTAAACAACAAAAGGTAGGGGGTTTGTACATATAAAAGTCCAAAAACCCTCTATGGACTTGGAGCTTCTGGGGAGCAAGCGGGAAACAGAAGCCAATAATCCAGCTGATGATCTCTTGGGAAAACAGGAGCATAAGGAACACCTACTGGATCAGGCCAATGGCCCACCTGGTCTAGCATCCTGTTCTCACCTTGGCCAACCAGATGCCTCTGGGAAACCAGTTAGCAGGATCTGAGCACAAGAGCACTCGCTCCTCCAGAGGTTTCCAGCAACTGGTCTTCAGATGCATTTAACTTCCTCTCTCATTTGCAGCAATACAGCCAGCCACCACAGAGGGGAAATTCGTATTATTTTCACTTGGGGTTGTCACTATGCACTAGAATTTGCAAGGCGAGAGAGAGGAAAGGTGCTATTCAGTCTTCTTACCGTCTCCTCTTAAGAACATCTCCAGGAAAACAGGCCAGGAATCGATGGTGGGGAGGTTTGGATTGTCTCTGTAATAATGATACATGGAAACCGCAATGTCTTTGGGGTTTCTGATGATGTAGATAGCCTGCAAACGAAGACAACGCGTTAATAAGGCAGTGAAATCGAAAGGGGAAAGGCCAAGGGAAAGCTGCTCAGTTAGAGTGAATGGGGCATCGCCCCCCACCACCCTCAATGCCCCACCTGCCTGACTTCTTACAACCAGTCAGGGCGTAGATCTGCCTAACATTGACTAAGGAGCCACCAATTTCTGGTCTCCCTAGCACAGGGGTAGGCAACCTAAGGCCCATGACCCACAAGCGGCCCCCGGGGGTTGTTTAACCGGCCCCCGAGCAGCCCCCGAACCGAGTCACCCACTCAGCGAGTCCCTGCGTGCTGCGCTAAACCAGCGCACCTAAGCGAGTTGCGGGGACTCGCTTTCGTGGCACCTCAAATCATGTCTGCGCATGTACAGATGCTGGAAGTCGTGTTTGCGCAGTTGTAGATGCCAGAAATCGTGGGGGTGCACGCGATCCGGCCCACGGAGGGATCTCCGCTGGAGTGAACCGGCCCAGGCAAGGTAAATCTTGCAGACCCCTGCCTTGCATCTGCCATATTGGTCCCAATATGATCTCTACACACACACACACACACCCCAACCTTGTGTTGCTGGACTACAAGTCCCATCATCCCCAATCAATGACCATACTGGCAGGGGCTGATGGGAGTTGTAGTTCAAAACTTTTGGAGAGCACCAGGTTGCCGAAGGCTATACTGACTAGCGGTGAGTTTTGGAGACTTGGAGCTGCCAGGAATTCATCTTGGGACTTCCTGCAAGGCAAAGTGTGAATTCTACTGCTGAGCTACTGTCTTCCCCCCAAATCACAGCAGAGATAAGTTTTATTCAATGCAGACCTGTTGAAACGATTGATCGTAGATAAGGGCTCATCCAGACTTCCTTTTGTACCACAAGTTGTGCATGCAGGCGCATGCTTCTCAGCGACAGGTCCAAGCATTTGGGGTTTTTCGTCCCACCAAGAAATCCTACTGTTTATCACTGAATTGGAACAAATGTCAATCAGGGTTTTTGCGGGTTTATGTTTGTTCCGATTCAGCAGTAAACGGCAGGTTTTTCCCAGGGAAAGCAGAGCGACCTGACTCAGACCCTGGAAAGCACAGGTGTGCGCCTACAAACCAGGGCACAAAATGAAGTATGGCTGAGCCCTTAGTCCTGATCATAGAATCATCAATTCATCGAATTGTAGAGTTGGAAGGGATCATGAGAAACATCTAGTCCAGTGCCTCTGCTTCTCACCTCCACAGCACCCCATTGAATTCTGCCCCATTCCTTCCCAGCAAACATCTAGTCCAGCCCCCAGATCATTCATTTCAATGGGTCTACCCTGAGTAAAAAAGGGACACGGGTGGTGCTGTGTGTTAAACCACAGAGCCTAGCTAGGACTTGGTGATCAGATGGTCGGCAGTTCGAATCCCCACGATGGGGTGAGCTCCCGTTGCTCAGTCCCTGCTCCTGCCAACCTAGCAGTTCGAAAGCACGTCAGAGTGCAAGTAGATAAATAGGTACCGCTCTGGCGGGAAGGTAAACGGCGTTTCCGTGCGCTGCTCTAGTTCGCCAGAAGCGGCTTAGTCATGCTGGCCACATGATCTGGAAGCTGTACGCCAGCTCCCTCGGCCAATAAAGCGGGATGAGCACCCCAGAGTCCCTTGAAGAGGCGCAGACCTTGGTTGAGGGCCGAGACCCGAGGAATCTCATGCACTGCTCGGCAGAGTTTGGGGAGGCTTGTAAAAATATCATTTTGAGATCAAGATGCATAACCAGGGCTGCCTACCAGATTTCACTGGGAGGCTCATTCGGGAACCTTTTTTTAATTATCATTTCCTCCCCGGTGCCTGAAATAATACCCTGCCCATATCTCACCTTACATTGCTTGAGTTTAAAAGCGGGTGGCAGCATGCTGCCGTCCAAATGGGTTGGAATGATTCTCTTGCCTGAAAGACGGTCCAGTTGGTCCAGTCTGGAAAGATCTCCAAATTCAATCGGAGATGTTAAAGACACTCTGGGTGCATAGAGGTGCATGAGGATTTCGGCCAGCCAGTGAGTGCCTGAGAGAGAGGAGAAAAGAAGGGGGGGGATGCATGAACAATACAGTGGTACCTCAGGTTAAGAACTTGCCGTATTTTTTGCTCTATAAGACTCACTTTTTCCCTCCTAAAAAGTAAGGGGAAATGTGTGTGCGTCTTCTGGAGTGAATGCAGGCTGCACAGCTATCCCAGAAGCCAGAAGAGCAAGAGGGATTGCTGCTTTCACTGCGTAGCGATCCCTCTTGCTGTTCTGGCTTCTGAGATTCAGAATATTTTTTCCCCTCTTTTCCTCCTCCAAAAACTAGGTGCTTCTTGTGGTCTAGTGCGTCTTATAGAGTGAAAAATACGGTAATTCATTCTGGAGGTCCGTTCTTAACCTGAAACTGTTCTTAACCTGAAGCACCACTTTAGCTAATGGGGCCTCCCGCTGCCGCTGTGCCGCCAGAGCACGATTTCTGTTCTCATCCTGAAGCAAAGTTCTTAACCTGAGGTAATATTTCTGGGTTAGTGGAGTCTGTAACCTGAAACGTATGTAACCCAAAGTACCACTGTACTGGCAAAGTGTTGAATATATATTGCTTGATAAACTGGGTGATGGAGGTTATGTACACAGGAGGACCATAAACGGTCTAATTGCCAAGGATAAGAAATAATTGCCTCCAGATTGAGGCAGATTGAGGACAAGGAACCTTAGTGGGTTTATTTTGAAGATGCTCCTCTCTAAAGAGCAATGAAACCCAAAGTAAAAGGATGGGTTTGTTTGACTAACAACTTTGGATCCGGTCAATTTCATTTCTGAAGAAGAGAAGGGGGAAAATACTGAATGCTGGAATTTGCTCCACAAGAGAAAGAGAAAGGTTTTGCAGGGTCTTTGGTTTTAAAGGGCTCCCTGTACGTTTACTGATAGTGGGAGCTCATCCTGTCCTAACTGGGAAGGGATATGGTTCCTAAATGCACACACACACCCCTTGGGGCAGGAGCAGAGCATTCCTCAAACCGCAGTGCTTGTGAGGGTGCTCCTCAAAATTACTGTACAAAAGGAATCTTGCAAGTCACTTGCAATAGCTCAGTACCAACTAGGGAGAGGTAGATCTGTCAGTTTCAGTTTCTATCCGTTTCTCATTTTTACACTCTTTGAGTTCAGTTCTCCACATCAATTTGCCATTTTTAAGCCTCACGGCAACCCCACCGCCATGCCTCTCTTATCTTTGTGGCGTGTTGGCTAATTTATTGTCTGGCACAGTTCTGCAGACAGACATTTTCCCTTTGTATCCCAAATATTATCTAAATGCTACTGTTTATTAGGGATGCAGGTGATGCTGTGGGTTAAACCACAGAGCCGAGGACTTGCCAATCAGAAGGTCGGTGGTTCGAATCCCCGCAACGGGGTGAGCTCCCGTTGCTCGGTCCCTGCTCCTGCCAACCTAGCAGTTTGAAAGCACGTCAAAGTGCAAGTAGACAAATAGGTACTGCTCCGGTGGGAAGGTAAATGGTGTTTCTGTGCGCTGCTCTGGTTCGCCAGAAGCGGCTTAGTCATGCTGGCCACATGACCTGGAAGCTGTACGCCGGCTCCCTCAGCCAATAAAGCGAGATGAGCGCCACAATCCCAAAGTCGTCCGCGACTGGACCTAATGGTCAGGGATCCCTTTACCTTTACTGTTTATTAGTTTCTAATATTTGCTAACTCAAAGTTATCTTCTGGCAGGATATCGTGAGAAATCTCACAAGATCTCACGCAAGATTTCGCTGAAATCTCACAAGCTTGGGCAGTAGAGGCAGCGCACCTTGCCTCATCCGTGAGCAGGACCTATAATTGGGAACCTGCCGCCCTGAAGAAGAGAAGAAGAGGAGTTTGGATTTGATATCCCACTTTATCACTACCCTAAGGAGTCTCAAAGCAGCTAACATTCTCCTTTCCCTTCCTCCCCCACAACAAACACTCAGTGAGGTGAGTGGGGCTGAGGGACTTCAAAGAAGTGTGACTAGCCCAAGGTCACCCAGCAGCTGCATGTGGAGGAAAGGGGACGCGAACCCGGTTCACCAGATTACAAGTCTATTGCTCTTAACCACTACATCACACTGGCTCCCTGAGGCCTCACTGCACCTCATGGTTGGTGTACTCATGCAAACCTGCTTTGCTGAATCTTTTTTTAAAATGCTGTTCCCGCACCTCCAAGACTACTTCAGGACAAAAGAAGAATGAACATATATACTGCCATCAATTATTCTACCTGGCCTTTAGCATGTTATGCTTTTGCCCAGTGTTTCCCAAATTGGGTCTCCAGCTGTTTTTGGACCACAATTCCCATCATCCCTAGCTAGCAGGACCAGTGGTCAGGGATGGTGGGAACTGTAGTCCAAAAACAAGTGGAGGCCCAAGTTTGGGGAACACTCTTTTAGCCCATCTTACCTAGACAGCATCTTAAAAAGCAGAGACATCACCTTGCCAACAAAGGTCTGTATAGTTAAAGCCATGGTTAGTGATGTATGGAAGTGAGAGCTGGACCATAAAGAAGGCTGATCGCTGAAGAATTGATGCTTTTGGATTATGGTGCTGGAGGAGACTCTTGAGAGTCCCATGGACTGCAAGAAGATCAAAACTATCCATTCTTAAGGAAATCAGCCCTGAGTGCTCACTGGAAGGACAGATCCTGAAGCTGAGGCTCCAGTACTTTGGCCACCTCATGAGAAGAGAAGACTCCCTGGAAAAGACCCTGATGTTGGGAAAGATGGAGGGCACAAGGAGAAGGGGATGACAGAAGATGAGATGGTTGGACAGTGTTCTCGAAGCTACCAGCATGAGTTTGACCAAACTGCGGGAGGCAGTGGAAGACAGGAGGGCCTGGCGTGCTCTGGTCCATGGGGTCACGAAGAGTCGGACACGACTAAACGTCTAAACGACAACAACCTAGATACCTGTTCTCACAGTGGCCAGTGAGCTACTTATGGGAAGCTAATAATAATAATAATAATAATAATAATAATAATAATAATAATAATAGCAAATCCTGAGCGCACCAGCAATCTTTGTACCAGCAATGCTCAGAAGCTGGAAAAGCATTGTGTCTCTGACCCAGTGGAAGTAGAGCATTGTCATCATGGAGTCATTGATTGACTCTATGAACAAAGTTTGTTAATCGCTTCCGACAATTGACAGCGAGGCCAATGACTTGCATGATTAACTCATGAGTCCTTAAAGCTGCCCATTAGTGTTTGAGTTGATTAATTGCACACTTACTAAGCAATTAAGTCTTCCAGCTGACTAATCCAGTCATGGCCAGGGGTTGGGGTGGGGAAGAAAGTCAAGTTTTTTTTTAAAAAAAAACAACCCTTTCCTAGAGGATTCACAACAAATACAGATTCAATTCCAAGGATATTTTGCACATTAACTACCAGCCCTACGGGTCTCGTGATCCCACCATGAAGCATCAAAAACCAGATCTGATTGAGACTTAGGGGGTACTCTCAAAGACAGCCAGTATTCCTATAAACAGAACTATATAGGACTATATTATAAGAACTGTAACCTTAAGAACAGGTGTAACAACCTGCATTTTTCCTCCTCCCTCCCCATTCCTTTTTCCTCACGTGCCATGTATTTTAAATTGTAAGCGTGAGGCGTAGGGACTGTCTCGCTACTGATTCTTGTAAGCTGCACCGGGAAGGCTTTTTGGCAAAAGAGCGGCATGTAAATGCTTTAAATAAATAAACAAACGAGACCACCACAGCTCTCTCTGTTTTTGTATCGCTTCTCGGAGTCAAGCTTTCATGGGGGGCAGCGGCAGAAGAGCCAGCAGTTTATGGGGTACACCCTTAAGATTGTGGATCTCAATCCCCCTTCCTCTCTTCTCCGCTTCTCTCTCGCTCACGCAGAATTTCTTGTTCTAGTTTACTAAGCCTGGAATAAGAAGGCGTAGATTAGGATTCTTTCCCCATTCCGAATCAAGCAAGACTTTACCAGACTTTGGGTACGAAACCAAAAGGATGTCGTCTTCTCTAGCGTCAAACGTGTCCAGGGATTTCAAGAGCTCGGGAGAAGTCCTGATGGTGAAAGTGATGCCATTGAAAGTGTGCATGAGATCGTCTTCACTGCGTGACGACATCTGTCTTGGCGGGTGGTCTCAGTCGAACTGGACGCTTCTTCCCAAACCAGGAGAGAAGGAAACCTCTGGCCAGCTGAGTGATTATTAGCAGCGACTGAGCAAGAAAGAAGTTGGAAAAGACCCATTTATGCACTTTGTAACATCTCGAAGAGGCATTTGGGGGCTTATCTTTATGGATTACAATAAATGCAAAGGAACAGAAAGGTTATCCAGATAAACAGCAAATCCGGGAGGTGGTTCACTGAAACTTGGCTTCTGGCACAGAAATGAGCGAAAACGCAACAGTGGAAAATAACCAGGATTGTAATTGCACAAATGATTGCGGTGCACTCATTAACAAATGGGGCTCTTGGTGTGAGTGGCGTGTTGTCTCAGGAGGTTAATGAGTTCCTAATGAGCCTGTGTGTGTGTGCGTGTGTGTCCTTAATAGCACCATAGCTCTGTAGAAATACACTGTGTTCTCTCCCGTCACAGTAAATCCTGAAGGAGGAAATGAAGTTGGAGAATTTGCGGTGCCCAGCGGCAAGCGCACTCTCCTGCAGGGTTGTAGCTCGGTGGCACAGCACCTGCTTTGGGTAGGCAGGTCGCAGGCTCAACCCCCAGCATCTCCAAGCCTGGAGAGATGCTGCCAGTCAGTGCAGACAGTATGGAGCTAGATGGACCCAATGGAGTCGATACAAAGCATTTTCCTAAGTTCAAAGGATGTAATTGCTGCCCATGATAGCACTGAGGGCAGATCTCAATGGAAAAAATAAGCAGCGTAGATAACTGAAACTGCCAATTTTGCCCATCCCTAGTCAGCGAGGATAGGAGCCTACCCTTCAACATTTCTCTGATGAAAAGAAGGATGTCCTATTCTGTTGTTGTTGTTGTTACGCCCATCTGACTGAGTTGTACCAGCTACTCTGGGCAGCTTCCAATATATATACAGTGGTACCTCAGGATGCGAATGGGGTCTGTTCCAGAGCCCCATTCGCATCCTGAACAGAATGTAAGACATGACTGCGTGTCTGTGTGTGCACGGGTTGTGTTTCGCCGCTTCCGCGCATGCGCGTGACATCATTTTGACCGTCTGTGCATGCGCGAGCGGCAAACCCGGAAGTAATGCGCTCAGTTACTTCTGGGTCTCGCGGAGCACAATCCGAAAATACCACATTTTTCGCTCTATAAGACGCACTTTTCCCCTCCTAAAAAGTAAAGGGAAATGTGTGTGTGTCTTATGGAGTGAATGCAGGCTGCGCAGCTATCGCTGAAGCCAGAAGAGCAAGAGGGATCGGTGCACACCGATCCCTCTTGCTCTCCTGGCTTCAGTGATAGCCCCACAAAGCCTCTTGAGTGCAGCCGGAGTGCTCCTGCCTCTTCACTCAAGAGGCTTTGCGTTGCTTTCTTGTTTCTTGTTTTCCTCCTCTAAAAACTAGGTGCGTCTTATGGTTGGGTGCGTCTTATAAAGCAAAAAGTATGTTACTTATCCTGAAGCGTAGCACTGTGGGTTAAACCACAGAGCCTAGGACTTGCCAATCAGAAGGTCGGCGGTTGGAATCCCTTCATTGGGGTGAGCTCCCATTGCTTGGTCCCTGCTCCTGCCAACCCAGCAGTTCGAAAGCATGTCAAAGTGCAAGTAGATAAATAGGTACCACTCTGGCAGGAAGGTAAACGGCGTTTCCGTGCGCTGCTCTGGTTCGCCAGAAGCAGCCTAGTCATGCTGGCCACATGACCCGGAAGCTGTACGCTGGCTCCCTCAGCCAATAAAGCGAACACAAACATTTTAAAACTTCCCTATACAGGGCTGCCTTCATATGGCTCGGGGGTCAGATAACTCCATAGGGACTTCCTACCATCTCCTCCAACACTTCTCCAATGAAAATAGGGATATCCTTAGGAAAAGCGGGACATTTTGGGATCAAATCAGAAACCAGGATGACTTCTGTAAATTCAGGACTATCCCTAGAAAATAGGAAAACTTGGAGAGTCTGAAACACAACCTTTTAAGCAATGCTATTTCTCTAGAAAAAGAAGTGCAAGAATTCATCATGAACACCTCTCTTGTTAGAATGGCAATGGTGCCCCACCTGAGAGGTGCGGGAACTGAGTTCCAGCTGGGGGGGAAAGCCCTGCTTTTAAGCCTACATTTCCTGGCACTTGCCCTGCAATTCCTCTCTTCCCTTCCAGTGAAGCAGGTTGTTGGTGCCCAAATCTGGGGGCCCCAGAAGGTAGGGTAAGCTTAGAAGTTGGGGCCAACGTCAAAAAGTTGGAGAAAGACTGATGGAAGGGCATTCAGTTCAATGAGATGTCTTCATCCTAATCAGACACTTGCTAATCTGCAATAATGCAATCATGCCACCGTGTTCCCATTAGTTTTGCATAATGTACTAAATGGAGGAGGAAATATGTGTGAACTCCGAGATAAAGAACAGTAGCTTTACAATGCCAGGGCAATTTCACTTCTGGATTCAGGTGAATTCCATAAACTCCTCTTTCAGGAAGAAGGAGATTGTGTCCTTAAAACTGCACTAGGCCAGAATTTCCCAAATGTTAAGTTGTGGGTGAACATGGCAGACGACACGGCGATTCTTCAAACAGCTAGGCCAGAACAGAACTGAACTGAAGGGTTCAGCCAGTCTGCTTATATAGAGCTCCACTACAATGCAACTGTAACCATTTTCGGTAACTATCCAATCACTGAACATCACTTTCAATCACCTATTTGCATATGTGGACCAGAGTGAAAACTATCTACAGTACCCCCCTGCTGGCCCAGGGTGAGAACTTCAGTGTTGTTGTTGTTTTGTTGTTTAGTCGTTTAGTCATGTCCGACTCTTCATGACCCCATGGACCAGAGCACGCCAGGCACCTCTGTGTGGACCATTATGGGGCCAAAATGACATTATCCATATTTGAGATGGAGAAGACCTAGGGAACCCTGAAACTTTGTAAAGGACAAAGGAGGGAGAGAGGGAAAGAAGCAACCGTCCCACACTTACAACTTCAGGATTTTGCATAATCTTTCTGACTGAAATGCAAGCACTCTCCTTAATTCACCAGCTGATTAGCTTAAAATGGATGAAATGCAATTAACCCTGGCTGTGTACAATAGCACTTCCTCCTCTTCCCAAACAATCAAATCTTTGCACAGCTATGAGTAAATCACATTATCTGACTGCTTTAACATATTCAAATGAGTTTTAGGATTGTCACGGGGCCAGGGGGCTTGATGCCTGCCACCTAGTGGCCAACAACCTCTTCCTGCAGTCTCAGTCTAGGAGAACCTGTGACCTTCTAGGTCAGACTTCCTCAAACTCGGCCCTCCAGATGTTTTGGACTACAACTCCCATGATCCCTAGCTAACAGGACCAGTGGTCAGGGATTATGGGAATTGTAGCCCTAAAACCTCTAGAGGGCTGAGTTTGCCTGCCTGTAAATCTAGACGTTGTTGAGACCAACCAGCATGGCCAATAATCAGGGATTCTGGGAATTACAGTCTGGCAACCTCTCCTAGCCCAGGGAAGTTGGAAATGCAGTCAGGCCAAGGCATCATACAGAGATGCAGTGGGCACACTCCTCTGTGATGTATACAGATAAGAGTTATTCAGTTGTAGATTTGGATGAGGGTTTTTTCCCCTTTTCTTTGCAACATTCTAGGAGCTGGACCATAAAGAAGGCTGATCGCAGAAGAATTGATGCTTTTGAATTATGGTGCTGGAGGAGACTCTTGAGAGTCCCATGGACTGCAAGAAGATCAAACCTATCCATTCTGAAGGAAATCAGCCCTGAGTGCTCACTGGAAGGACAGATCCTGAAGCTGAGGCTCCAATACTTTGGCCACCTCATGAGAAGAGAAGACTCCCTGGAAAAGACCCTGATGTTGGGAAAGATGGAGGGCACAAGGAGAAGGGGACGACAGAGGACGAGATGGTTGGACAGTGTTATCGAAGCTACAAACATGAGCCTGACCAAACTGCGGGAGGCGTGGAAGACAGGAGTGCCTGGCGTGCTCTGGTCCATGGGGTCATGAAGAGTCGGACACGGCTAAATGACTAAACAACAACAGGAGCTCGTTCGCAGCACTCTCATGTGCCTGTCACACAACATGGGAAATGATGTAGAGGGGGGGAAATGTCAAAGGAAAATCTGGCATGGGAGTTGACCACACAGAGTTCCCCCCTCCTTTCCTTCCTCTTGTTTGAAGGTGAACCACATTGAATGTGTCATTTGTGGCTGATGCGATTCCAAAGGCAGGACCGGGTTCGTTTGACCTATCTCTTCCCCCACTGTGAAATTGCAGCTGCGCAGGACAAAGAAGGCGACTTTATTCTGGTAAACAAGCATGGCCGATCCATCAAGAGGCTCCTTCCTTAGTTCTGATCAATTGCCGCCAACATCTTCAAAGTTCCCTGCAGTGTGTAGAGCCAGGATGGAGATCGAGATGAGACAAATCTCATCTGTATTTCACCTTGTTAACGGAGAAATCCGAGGGCTCCCTTGAACAAAAAAACAAGGACACCAGCCAGGATTACCAGAGCAAAACAGCAGCCAGTAGGCTTGGTCTTTATTGAAGACTGTCGCTACAGGACTCCCACCCGCCACCAGGTGAAACAAAATGGAAGCCCAGAACAAAAGAAGACCCCAACTTTTATTAGTTACTAATCCCCCAAACTACATCCCTAGAACTACATCACAACTACATCATGACTACATCATTGACACATCACAAAAAGGAGGAGTCGAGAGAGGAGTTGTGGAGGTAACCTGAGTGTCTTGTCACCTGGCTGGTCCCTCCTTCCGCCCTCCCCATGAGTCATTTCCAGAGGACAAAAGGGAGTTGGCAGTTTCCTGCCCCCAGAGGGAAGAGCTGATCATTGTCCTTCGTTCCAGTCCGTGCTGAATCCACTCCTATATGCAAGTTCTTTGTGACCTGGATGGTCTTCTGTCTAGGACCATCAAGGTTGGCATAGCAACTGGGCAGGGCTCCTGTGTATGTGCTGGTATGCTCAAGGGATTATGGCTGGCCTGTACCAAACCTTCCCCATTTTGTAGTCCTTCCTTCATGGAGTAAAATAAAAGTGGAACGGTGCAGATCCGATCTGTGGTTGATTTTTTTATGAATTTATAACAGAAGCATAGCG